TGTTCTGTTATCGAAGTTTTCAACTATCTCGACCGTGTATTTAAAAATTTTCGTTACTAATTACAACCTTGAGCCTAAGTGATGTGGTAATTGGATATCATTGTGGCTCAACAACATCAAATATAATAACCTTTTCCTTACTGGATTTGGAGGAGTGAGACTTTCACGAAACTGCTTTCAATTCAACGACAATGCATAGAACTTAGCTAAGTAGCCGAGTTCCGAGAAGTTCAGGTATTCCAATGAAAAATCGAGCAGTGTTTACTTGTAAATGGCTGAAATATCTTATACCCAAGCCCAATGGAGTATAAAAGAATATATATGAATTAAACTATGAATAATGCCGACTTGTTCATGAAACCGAAATTTTCAAATATGCCAATTTCCACACAATAGCAAATTTAAAAGTAAACGCTACAACATCGAAAGGCATAAATTTTATGGGCAGCGCGGAAGGTAGAATCTGTAATGGAGTATCCTACGTTGATAATTTCGGATCGTAGAATAAAGCATTCGTACAAGAAACAATAAAAATCACACTAGTCCGAAACAACGCTAAAGCTAGCTTAAGTAGTGATAAGCTAAGACTAAGTTTGGGTATGGTTCGTAATTTTCAGAAAAATATTGCTTAAATATAGAAGGAGGTTATACATTCTGCGATATTTTACTGCAACGAGAATGTTAAAAATTCATATGATATTTTATATAAAGATTTAGCTATGAAATACTCTAGCGACGCCAATCACGAAGTAATACATATACATTCAGCCTTACAGATGTAACTTTTGCCTTTACAGTTAAAGATAACATAAAAGATGTAATAGAGAATTCCTCAGAACAGAACACTCAAAATTATTCATTGCCAAGAAAAGTAATTATATACCAATTCGAGAACGACTTCGTTAATAGCAGAGGTGGTGTAAATTTAAACTTATATACTGATGTTAATTCATAATTCGTATATATTGAAAAGTATTTCACGAGGCAACTAAATAATTTATATCTAAATTTATTGATAGGAAAATATGGAGTTGAAAAAAAAATAATTCAAAATTCCCGATCTATCGCTATTCTTGCCCCAGATGAATTTACATACAACATCATGAAAAAGCCCAATTACGTAACAAAAATCGTTGGTGAAATAATGTTTGAAAAATTGTATACCAACGTTGCTTTGGTCCAAGTCAGCTTCACCATATGCCACAGTCAACATTCGGAATGCGTTCACGCACTTTATTTTGTTTTTCACACAAAATTTAATACAGATTCTTTGATCCATTTTTTAGAATAGGCAAAAATCGAAGACGAGCCAAAACACATCCAAGCAAAACAGCTGTCAAAAATTAACTGAACATTCAAAATGGTCGATCTTATCAGCATAAGTAAGGGACATGAGTACCAACATAACGCTACAAGAAAATAAAAAAATTAAATTTACCTAGCCGGCGAAAATTCAAAATTCGATACTTTTTAAACAGACCTCGTATAATGTAACTATCCGAACCCTCGAAACTTCTTGAAAACCTTGTACGTACATAGAAAACTGTCGAGCTTCCTGAAAACTCTCAATCTTCTTGACTTCAGGCACATAGGCTTTCGAAGGAGCCAGTCCACCGTGTAACGGTCCTATTTATGAGCTATTTATTAGATCACTGAATTACCGCGACCAGTCTAACGCATCTATCTGTTTATTCAAATTAATACATTAAGCGGCGCTACCTCACTGTTTACTCGATTATATTCATATAAGAGTCGAATCAAAATAAATAGCGTGACTTAACAAAGTAATAGATATACACCATAAGAAACTAGGGCATCGTCTGACTTTCCCTGAAACATTGTACTTATTTATATATAGTTGATTTATTTATTATTATTAGAGTACATTTGATTTATCTATTTATTTTATCGACAAGTAGAGTAAAATTATTAGAAACAAATTCTTACTCATTAGCTAGATACGAGAGTTCGAATTATTATTATTTATAAGTGATACGAACATCACAACAGATACCGATTGCGTTGGCCTTTTGGATGTATTGACAACAAATAACGATACTTATCCTTTTCGATTTTTTCAAGGCCTTTGACACTGTATATCATAGCACGCTTGATAATTTTGAGTAAAACTTTATACTTTGTTTCTGTATCTTGATCTACTCCCAAAGATTAAGATTAACAATTTTGAGGTTCCATTTTCGCGCATTGTAAAGAGCTTTAGTTTGATGATCTCGTCACTACAATGGAAGCCTCTTGTTTCCGATATTATCTGCAAAACCCACTGCTCTTTAAATACACTTAAATTTTATGAGAAATCTCCTTCCCTTCAAGAAAAACTTAGTGGAAGCATTGGTTTTCCCTTACTTCCACTATGTCTCCTTAGCCTTCAGTCACCTAAATAAAACCAGAACCTTGGCCTTACATGTTGTTCAAAATGCTTGCACGCACTTCGTCATACGCTGCTCCTCGTTTATCGCTATTAAAAATATTAAGTCTCGTGTTACTTTTTACAGACTGTGTTTGGGTTGGCTGTCCTTCCAGTTCCATAATCACGTTATACTCTCGCTTCTCATTTACAAAACTATCTGCATCCATTATCCATTCTACCTCTCAACCTATATTCGACTATCAAATCATGACTTTAATAAAAATTAGATCATGATCCTCCCATATCATTTCAGTACCAAGCTCCACGGATTAAGGCTTGGTTCCGTTCGTCTTTTATCTAACAATAAGTCATGTATTTACTAAACCAACTCCCAGTCACTTTCTTCGACATAAGTAGACACCGTGGACCCTAGCATTGGCTATTTTCTCTGTATACGGCTTTGAATATTTGACTTTCCATCAGAAGGCCGTGAATAATAGTTTAACCAATATCACTGCTCTATCCTCATTTTGTCCTTCCTACCCATTTAATATCAGTGCCTTCACTTCTTCTACTGAATATCTCTTAACTTTTAGACGCTACCTTTTCTAAAACATCTCCTTCCAACTTACTGTTTGAGATAATCCTACCCATTCAGATTTTCTACTATCTGACCTCATTTACGAGGTGTGTTCAAAAAGTAAGGTGACTTTGTATTTTTAAGAAAAAATATTTATTTATTTATCAATATTTATGTTGTCCCCTTCAAAGTAATCTCCCTCAGATACAATACACTTATGCCAACGGTTTTTCCAATCCTCAAAGCACTTCTCATAAGCACTTTTCGGTATAGTCTTGAGTTCTTCCAGCGATGCAGTCTTTATCTCTTCAATCGTTGCAAATCTCCGTCCTCATAGGTCTCTTTAGTTTTGGGAACAAGAAAAAGTCACATGGGGCCAAATCCGGTAAATATGGTGGCTGAGGCATGATTGTGGTGTTGTTTTTGGTCAAAAAATCTCTCACAAGCAAAGATGAGTGAGCAGGGGCATTATCGTGATGCAAAAGCCATGAATTGTTTTTCCATAATTCTGGGCGTTTTCTTCGTATTGCTTCTCGCAAACGGCGCATAACTTCAAGATAATACTGTTTATTGACCATACGTCCATATGGTAAGAACTCCTGATGCACCACGTCATGGTAATCGAAGAAAACAGTGAGCAAAACTTTGACATTTGATCGACCTTGGCGTGCTTTTTTCGGTCTTGGCTAATTTGGGCTCTTCCATTGGGACGATTGGACTTTGGTTTCGATATCATAACCATATACCCATGATTCGTCACTAGTTATGACCCTTTTGAGTAAATCTGGGTCGTCGTTGACGTCATTCAACAGTTCTTGAGCGATGTTCATGCGACGGTTCTTTTGGTCAAAATTTAGCAATTTCGGAACAAACTTCGCTGACACACGTCTCATGCCCAAAATGTTAGAAAAAATTTCATGGCACGAGCCAAGCGATATACCAACATCCTCAGCAACTTCTCTGATAGTGATTCGACGATTTTCCAGAACAATTTTCTTCACTGCTTGAACGTTTTCATCAGTTGTTGACGTGCTTGGGCGTCCAGAGCGAGCGTTATTGACATCTTCCCGGCCATCTTGGAAGAGTTTGTACCACTTGTAAACATTTTTTTAACTCAGAACAGTTTCACCGTATGCCACCGTCAACATTTCAAGTGTTTCGGAGCAGTTTATTTTATTTTTTACACAAAATTTGATCCAAATCCTTTGATCCATATTTTTCGATAGCAAGAAATCGCCAAGCACGCAAAACACTTATAACCTTTACGCCTCTCACAAACAAACAAAAAATGCTATACACTTGAAACTTGGTACAGATGTTCGGGAAGAGTGTACCAACATAACAAAACAAAAAAATCGATAATCGAAAGGGCGTTGCCCGTGAAATTTGAAAAGTCACCTTACTTTTTGAACACACCTCGTACCTCTCTTTCATTTGATGTTTCTATCATTCCTACTTAAATTCCCTTTCAGCGTTTAAGTTTAAGTCTTAACTAGTCACCTGGATAATTTGATCATTATACGAGTATGTTTATTAGATGCACCTACGTTTGTATATAAATACTTATATCTAATTGTCAATTCCAAGCGTGTGTTGCCTTCCTCTTATATTATTTATTTATTTACTTTGTTAATTATATACGTAATTTTTTTATATTACCTATTATACTTATTGCATGTTTAATTACGCTATTTCGTATTATTTGCACTAGCTCCTGTATTTACTGCGGCTTATGGCTTTATAGTAAATACAGGTTCATGGCTTAATAAAATTCACTCTCGTTATTACTCTCTCTCTGTCTCTCTTTATCACTTTCTCTTGTGTCCATTGCTGCCGAATAAGTTAAAATTAATATAATTAGTCTCGGTATTGCGAGCCATTGAAATTAATACAATACTTTATTATTACTTGTATAAGATTACGCGTTTACGAGTTTCGATTTTATTAATATTGGTTTTATAATACTACTCTATAAATAATGCATTCATATGAAGTCGTTGATAATTAAATATATATAATAATTTTGAATAATACAAATTTTTTGTGTTGCAGGGCTGCACAGATAAAATTTTGGGAGAATTGAAAACAAAGAGTAATATCTTCATTAGTATAATTGTTGGGTTAAATATTCTGGAGTTCATAGGTTTAATTTTTTCATTGATTCTCTGCTGTGCTATTGGATCAAATCGTCCATATAAGGCTTAGCGATAAAAACATTAACAAAGGACTAACATATACTTGTATGTATAGGTTTTTGTACGAGATTAACAGGTCGATGTCAAACTTCACAATTTAATCTCATTTGTAAACATCCATTGTTTTAGAATACCTAGAATTCTTTGAAAAAGAATAAAGAAATACATCTAATATAATGAATCAAGTGTGAAATTCATTAATATATTATCATAAAATAGATTATTTAAAATACAATATATTTTATGTATGTACTTCTATATTTAGTATATATAACATATATATATATATATATATATATATATATATATATATATACCATGCATCCATACATAGACATATACAATGTTTACAAATATAAAATGTAGGATATCTTTCTTTAAATTTCATGATTGTCTTTTCAATTAAAAAATTAAACGAAAATATGATTGTATCTTATTTTACTATATATTATCGATATTTTGTTAATTAAGGATAACTTCTAAAAATACTTTTCTACTGCATTGATAGCAATGTATAACTACTCTTTGTAAAATCCACTCCCACACAATAATTTTTACCCACCCATCAACAAAATTAACCTATAGAACTCAACGGAAGTATATTTTAAAGAACTTTACAAAATTTGTTATATGATGTATTTTCAAATTATACTGTCCTTATGTACAGTGCGGCAAAAATCAAAATAAAAATTACAAAATTCTCTTCTCATTTAAAATGGCTCGCCATTCTTTTAAAAAAATTTCATTTAAAAGTAGAAATTGAAACAAACTATTTTGTAGCTCTTTATATTGTGACGGTAAACGTCAAATTAGCGCTGATTATTTAGCTTAATTGCTGCCTGTGAGGGCAGCATCTGCCGGGGGGACGAAATAGGTAACGAAGGAATTCGGCACGCGAGCAGACGGAACGCACGCAATAGAATTCGAACGAGTGAAGCATTGACCATTGTTGTGTCCGCCCGCTTTCGCTATTACCGCCGCCGATTCACGTACCCTTGACCACCATACGCTGAGACAGTGATATCCAGCTGAGAGCCAGTTATCCAGGACTGTAGCCGCCAAGGAGCCATCCAGCTACCAGTTTGAGGCCAAGCCGAGTGTGTGTGTGTGAGGTTTCGCCATCGAGGGCGAAACCATTCCGTGCGCGCATTCGCGACCCGCGAACTAAACATTTAAAAACTGTTCCGTGCTGTGCGATTTGTCGCTGTGTTCCCCGATCGCCTGCAAATATAAGGTAAGCTGGCCAGCTTAATTTCGCGATCGCGGTTGCGTGATTAATAATCAATTTCTAATATTCGATGCGTGCATGTAACGGCTCTAATAACAAAGAGCAGCGAGCGTACCGGCAAAGCGTGTTGTCGATGAGCGAGCGTCAACGTAAACAAACGCGCGGGCCGACCTTCTGTAGAGTATAAGGAATAATAAAAGATCTAGTTCATTTTACTAACAAGTGTTTTCTTTTGATTCGCTTATATCTCATAGCTTCCACTCACTTTCCTTCAATAGACGACTTACTGGTTGACTGGCGCCTATCTTTACATGCTCTCCGATTTGCGTACTGAGCATAACTAACTGCGCGCGTCCTTTTAGAGTATTTACGCGCATAAAATAATTAAACGGTTTTACCCCGTTACAATATGTTATATTCAATATACTTATTCAAAAGTATTATAGAATCAAATTTAGCAATTATATGAACTGTGACGGTAAACATCATATTAGCGCTATCAGCCCAACCATGCAGCTGCCGGCGAGGACAGCACCTGCCGGTTGGGGCTAAATGTATTGAGGGAATTCGGCATGAGACGTAACGGAACGTGCGCGTACGAATATGAACCAGTAGAAAATTAGCTACCGGCACGTTTAGCCAAGAGTGAAAGATTAGAACCCGCACATTTAGTTGCTACCAAGAAGGACGAGAGTTTTCCCGAGATTTCCGGAGCGCAGAGATAACCAGAGACGAGCTGTGTCATAGCCTGACGGAGCTGAGTGCGTGCTAGCGTGCATAAGTGAGCAGTTTCGCCATCGAGGGCGAAACTGAAAACTCGAGATACCTCGCCGCAAAGACTGACTTTTCCGCAACTAGGGTGCGAGCACTTTTATTTCCGTGTCATCGTACAGCTGCTAACAAGGTAAGCTGGCCAGCTTAATATCGCGATCGCGATAGAATTGTCTATAACATATCTCTCGACTCGATAGAAAACGTGCATGTATTATCTCGGCAAACAAAGAGCGGCAAGCGATCCGATTCCGCATGTTATTGTCGCGCGCGCATCTTGTAAACATAAACACGCGGGCCGAATACAGTGTATAGTTTAGAGGAAATAAACGATCTCGCATGTGATATTGATTAGAATTTCATCGTATTTATTTCAATAGTAGATAGTTGGTTGACTGATACCCGTTCCCTCCTGCTCTCCGATTTTCGTGTTTGAACGTATAGGCAATCACGCGCGCTCTTCGATACGATCGTGCGCATTAAATTGAATAAACGGTATCAACCCCGTTACAGAACGTTTATCTCACTTGTTTTCGTTGAAGTGAAGATATGGAATATTAAAAGAAGATTTTTTAATATTACATCAATTTTTTTATTAAAAAAATTCACGAAGTTAATATATATTTGGAAAAATTCTCCTTATCAATATTAAATATTAACATTGAAAATACATTTTCAAACTTTGAAAAGTTTAAAACTATTTAATAATAATTATTTCAACTAATATCATATGTACTTTTATTAATTTTGAATCTTCAATTTTATTAATTTTGAATTTGAAACTAAGAAAAATTAAATTTCATAACAACAAATGCAATAGATTTTTTTTTTATTTTCTCAAGCACATTTATAGTTTGACTATAATAAGTAAATTGTATTACAAAAATGAGTACATTGTGATTTTAAATATACGTATTACATGAAGGTACTTCTCCAATAATTGGCACCAAAAAAAGAAAAAAAAAACAAGTGAAATAACTTATATTTTACAGAACTCACTTCAAATTTGATTAAATGAAGTTTAATATTTTTTGATAATATTCATAATCTTGGAGTTGTGTGCATTTTATTTTTCGGCAGTCAATTGGGATATTCCGTTAATCGGTTAATGTACCTTCTACAGGTAAATTTTATTCCTTTTTTTATAGTTGATGTATTGATGTTTTTCCTGATTATTTCGTTTCTAATGAACCACATGCATTTATAGTGGATCTCAAGCCTTCTTCTGAATGTTTTTAATGATATCAATATTTGATTTTGCAGCAGTGACTCAGAGCTAAATTTCATATGCCCTGTAAATGACAAAGTTTTTTACATTTACTATTTAATAATTTTTCTTTCAATACAAATTTCGAATCAGCAAAAGATTATAGACACTTTTTCTTGTCTTTTGCCACTTATTAATGTACGAGGTGTGTTCGAAAAGTAAGGTGAATTTTTATTTTTATGAAAAAATATTTATTTATCCATCAATATTTATGTTGTCCCCTTCAAAGTAATCCCCCTCAGACATATAATACACTTGTGCCAACATTTTGTCCAATCCTCGAAGCACTGCTGGTAAGCACTTTCTGGTATAGCCTTGAGTTCTTCCAGCGATTTTTTCTTTATCTCCTCAATCATTCCAAACCTCCGTCCTATCATGGGTTTCTTGAGTTTTGGAAACAGGAAAAAATTGCAGGAGGCCATATCCGGTGAATATGGTGTCTGAGGCATAATTGTGATTTTATTTTTGGCCAAAAAGTTCGACACAAGCAACGATGAGTGAGCAGGTGCATTATCGTGATGCAAAATCCATGAATTGTTTTCCCATCATTCCGGACGTTTTTTTCGTATTGCTTTTCGCAAAGAACGCATAACTTTAAGATAATACTCTTTATTGACCGTAAGATCTTGTGGTAAGAACTCTTGATGTACTGCGCCACGATAATCAAAGAAAACAATGATCAAAACTGTGACATTTGATCGAACATGATATGATTTTTTCGGTCATGGCTTTTCTGAAGTCTTCCATTGAGATGATTGGGCTTTAGTTTCGACGTCATATGCATAAACACATGATTTGTCACCAGTTATGACTCTTTTTAGCGTATCAGGATCATTGTTGACACCCTTTAACAGTTCTTAAGCGACGTTCCTTTGACGGTTCTTTTGTTTAAAATTAAACAGTTTTGAAACAAATTTTGCTGATACAAGTTTCATGCACAAAACTTCGGAAAAAATTGCATGGCACGAGTCAACAGAGATGCCGACGTCTGCAGCCACTTCTCTAATAGTGATTCGACGATTTTTTAACATAATTTGTTTCACTTCATCAACACCTTTATTAGTTATTGAAGTGTTCGGACGTCTAGAGCGAGTTTCGTCGTCGGTGTCTTCTCAGTCATCTTGAAAGAGCTTATACCACTTGTAAATATTTTTTTGACTTGAAGTAGGCTCACCTTATGCCACTATCAACATTTCAAGTGTTTTAAACACTTAATTCTAGTTTTTACATAAAATTTTATGCAAACTCTTTAATCTATTGTTTTCGACAGCAGAAAATCTCCGAGCACAAAAAACACGTCTAACGTTTCTGTCTCGCAAAAAAAAAGTTAACCTACAAACTAACTGAAACTGTGAGCATATTTGAGAAATATGTATACCAACATAATAAAAAAAAATATCGATGATCGAATCTACGCAGTACGGCCAATTTAAAAATTCACCTTACTTTTTGAACACTCCTCGTAGTCTTATAGTAACCATTGCCAAGTGCAGACGTTTTATTTTGTGATCGTAGGTTACTGTCCAGCAGTCATCAATCACGCGTAGCCTGGAACAGGGAGGAGCTGAGAGAGAGAGGGAGGCTAGTAGCGCGGGTTGGTGGAGTAGTAGAGTTTAGTCACCGTGCTTGAAAACACCCTTTTTCATCCACGGACCCAAACCGCGTGCTCACTGCGCCCTACCAAGTCACGCACCACTCTACTATCTTCCACATTTTACGCGAGTGCGTATCTGGCGGCGACCTCAATGTGAATCACTTGGCGACGAGTCGCAACAAAGCGGAGATACTGAAATTCCGAGTTGACCCACCGGGCAAAGACTTCGGGGCAGCGACCCGCAACCAGCTTCGCCGACCTATGGGCGGCATTTTACCAGCACATGGCGAGTGTAGGCATTTCACCAGCGAGCGTATTCTTCCAG